TTTCCCTCTACGTTCAGAAAAGGATGACAGGCGGTGCTGTCCCCTGCCCCTTACACCTTTTCTCCCTGGGGCCAGGAGCCTCAATTTTGTCTTTAAGGACGAGTCTGCCCAAGGCTTTCAGGCCTCTGCTTGAGAGAGACCAGCCAAAAATTGGCCTTTTCATGAGAAGGGCTGTCCCTGCCCTCCCGAATCACACCCCTACTCCCTGGTCTCAAAATCCTCCAGGGCTCTTGACACCCAGAGCCTGTTCTCACTCCAGCTCCTGCCTCACATGGCAGCTTTGGAAAGAGGGGTTTTCTCCTCGCTTTCTGGCTGAGACTCCCGATTCTGGAGTCCAGCTTCCGTTCTGAAGCATTACATCATGACCCGAAGGTATGTGCTTTTCCAGCTTTATGGACCCAAGAGCATGTGGAACATCCATCTTCCATTCCACCGCCTCTGAAATGTCACCTGCAGGTCACTGACCCTGAGCTCTTGGGCTCACTCATCTGGAAATACTCTCTGGATACCTGCCCTAAGTGTGGCCCAGCTTGGTCCCGGGTGGGTAAAGATGCAAAGAAGCTCCACTGTGGCTTTGGGGGCTCAAGATGGTGAGAGGGAGATGGGTACATGTCTCATCACCTTACGGTAATCCCAGGCTGGCCATGGAGGGTGTTTGGGGGCTGCCCAGGCTGAGAGAGCAAGGTAGGCTTCCCGGAGGAGGCAATGCCTGTGCTGAGTCCCCAGAGGTTAGGAAGATTCTGCTGGGGAAGGAGAGAAGAAATAGTGTTTCAGAAAGGGGGCAAGGTAGACAAAGGCCTGGAGGCTTGGACTCCAGTAGCTCTCTGAGATGGAGGGGTTGGGGGAGGTAGGACCAGGAGGGCGGCAGGGCATACCATGGACGGCCCTAGATGGCCGCGGGGGGCTTGGATGTCACCCTAAAGAGCCACAGGAAGGCTAGGAGGGGTTGCAGAATTCAAGGTGAGACTGGGCTCACCTGAGCTGAAACAGGAGCAGCAGGGCCAGTGGGAGAGGTCCAGGTTCCAGGAGCTAGGACCCTGTCTCCTGTCCCCCTGCTTTCCCACAGCCCAGGTCCTGCACGCGGCAGGGGCTCGACGTCTGCTACGTCACCTCGGGTCAGGACAAACAGGAATCACTGCCCCCTAACAAAGAAAAAGACAAAACTAAGGCCTGACTCCGGAGAAAGCTGTTCCTCAGCCCTTCGCACGTGACGCCCCTTCCTCAGGCTGCACCCCTTCTCTCAGGCCTGCCCCTTCCCCTGCCCCTTTGTGTTTCTCCACCTTTGGGTCCCCTTCTGTACTGCCTGAGCCCAGGGTCACCCAGGACTCCCAGACTCCTGGAGCCCGAGGCCCGCTCAGCGGCCCGGCCCG